AGAAGCCTGGCGTTGTGAACACTGAAGATGCAGCAAGTAAAGAATTTTACATTAATTTTATTGTAAATAGAAGAACCTGATGCAACAGTCATATTATACACCGAAGAGTACGTAGCTCCCCTTATCTTGTCCCCATCCAGGATGCTCCTGAGCCTCCCCTTTTGGGCAGCATGGTGGACCCTGTATCAAAGAAACACACCTGAGATCTGCGAACATCAAACCCACATGGTAAAATCAGTTTTGAACAGTTCGAGTCATAACTCTGGTACCAGAAGCCCTCTGAAGGTGCTTCTGTAAGAAAGTGGCATTGATAGTGTGGTTTCTTCTGACCGTCCAATGTTGAATATCGATTCTCATTTTGTGTTGTTTGCAGGTGTGTGACCTTGTCCCAATCTTTGACGACCATTTCCAGTTTCCAAAAATTGATTTCATAGTCTCAAAAGGACACTAAGAAATTCCTAAAACTTATGCAACAATGGATTGCGTTCAACCCGCCTCTAAATCAATGTCCTTCTATAGGCTATGGGTCATTTTGCTGAAACATCATATTCACAGTTACAAAACATTCAGCTGTGTCAGTTATTTTTAATCTCCTTCTTAAGGAAGAATGATGCAGGTCGCTTTTCACTCCTTATCTAAAACGGGTAGTTTTCGATGTCACAGACAAAATTTGCATATTCCCAACTTTGTAAGCATTATAATTTTGCTTTTCCACTTCTCTTTCATTTTTGTTAAAAAAGTTGTCGCTTATATGGTTATTTCATACCAAACTTCAATATCCTCTAATTATTTTGAGCAGTGTATTATATAGTGTACTTTTACACACATAATATATATTAGCCATAATAAAAATTCTTTAACAACAAAATTAAAGGGTATAGATATTTCATTAACTATGATTAGACACTTATGGAATATCTACCAAAATTACTATTTCATGGAAAGCTTTTTAATGGAAATTAGTACATATTTATTTTGCATATGGGAAAAGCAACAAAGCATATAAAGTTGGCATAAATGTGCACATTATGTAAATACGTGTATAGTACAGTCCTTGCCACTTCACCTATGAAATTTGGCTACTTGTTTCTTGCAATTTGGATGATTACAAGGAAAAAAATAAAGGGGGAAAGAGTACAAATATATAATCAAATTACAGTACTAAAAAAAATCACATATTAAAATATAACCAAAGGGTTAAGATATGTCCTAAGAATTTGATCACTAAATACTAACTTCAGTTCTACATTTCAATGTGAAATATTTTAAGCTTCTCTTATCTAATCTCAAGACTGACTTTTAATAGTCTCCAAGGCATGATTTCCCAACCCTATGCCCGCAGGCAGCATGGTGCCCGCCACTGTGCGATCACAATAAAAACGTTTTAGTTTTCAATAAAATTCTATGCGAAAGTTTTTTTTTTACTTTTAATGAAATAGAAATTGATTCTAGCACAAAGCAAAATGCGACTGATATCCTTTTTTATGTGCATGTATTATTAAACTCTATCCAACTATAAATTCACCTTGAAAAAGTAAATGGTGCCACACCGTGCAACAGATATTCTAGAATGTTCTCTTGGGGATAAAAAGGTTGGGAATCTCTGCTCTAAGGAATAGCTTTAACAACAGACTTTAAAAAAAATGAATAGTTGGTTGGTACGTTAATTATTGTTAAGCACTTAAAAGATACAAAAATAGACTTACAATGCATCTGATCATTTTTGAGGGAGATAAATACAGATGTGAGCACTATAAAAACATGGGAAAATTTCACCTAATCATTTAAGCACCATTTTGGCATATGACTTTTGGCCATCGCTCCAGCTGTTGGTTAATTTCTTTCTTAAAAAAGTCATTAGGTTTCCTTCTATTGAAGCTGTTGTTTTACAGTTCATGAACAACTGAACTCCAGACCATGAAGAACTCCAAAGTGACCTGAAGAGATGAAAATGCAAGACGGCAAAGTGCGGTGAATTAAACATTCTAGCCATATGTGCTTTGCTTCTATTTCTGCTTTTAAAAACTGTCACCTGGGAACAGTATTTTTCAAAATTTAGTGACTGATCTGGTGGCAACAATTCATTATATAAAATTCCTTTGCAGTCCCATCATATACTTAACATTACTTTTTAGGGACTTATTATTATTAATGTAATGCCTTCTTAATATTATTAGATGAAATTCATTTTGCTTATCCAATACCTTTATTTGAAACATTACTGTATAGTAACCATCTCTCATCTTCACTAATGAGCCACTTGAAAAAAAAAAATTATTTATTTTGCATCAGAAAAGAATCACGTGCCAAATTCGAATAAGCATATTCTGCTCTTAAATCATGATGTACCCATACCTTCTGGCAATACACAATCTTTTCAAATGATTATGTACTGTACTTTTAAGAACATTTAGTCTGTTTGATAGCTCTTGAACTGTATAACATGGATTATCAGACACAACATCTTTTAATAGGTCCACATTTATAGAGAATGGTAGTTTAGAATAGGTTTCATCTTTCAGGACAAAAATCTGTGCACTTAATTTTCTCAAAACCCTTAAAAATTATTGCTCAGAAACAGCACTCTGTCCATAAACAATACTAATTTTATGAGCAGTCTGATTAGCAATTTTTCTCCTTTATAAAAAAAACTCATAATATGATAAAAATGAACTCTTTGGTTCTCTATTCTACACTGAACAAAAAATCATGCCACAACATGCGCTGGAATTATGCAACTCCGGCTGAAAATGTTACATTTACACATCTGCTTCAATCAAAATCACTCCTTATGAGCAGTACCAAAATAAGTAGAAGAAAGCCTGTTTTATTTTGAAAAGCACAGAGCATTTTGGATGACCCAATAAATCAGCATCTAAAAAAAGCAGTTTCTATAGAAGTCAAAATTTTTCAGTAAAAATACAAAAGCAAAAAAAAATAATTCTATATACTTAATTAGAACTCTGGGCAAACATTCAATCATTCTTTGAAAATATTGGGTAGCATAATGTAAGGCAATTATTCAGGAATTAATACATAAATGCATAAACAGTTTAAAAGGTATAGTTTACAAATTCATCTAATATCATAATATTCAGAAATTTATTATCTAAATTCTAGAATATTTATAATTAAGATTCTCTTAGGATTAATTTTACAATTATAAAATTATATATACATATGTAAATAATTGTATTGGGGAGTACAAATAGTCTCCACCATTTGGCAAAAAACACCACCACCAGTAATTCAGGGTTAAAACAGGCTGATAAAACATCATATCGTATGATTGAACACCTGCTAACAACATAACCTTGAAATATTAGGCATTTTGTATTAGCATATATATATATATATATATATTCATGAAGTTTTGAGCCGAATGAGTGTCATTTGCAGGAACTTTTGATTTACTTTTTTAATTTGAAGAAATCTGCAGCTAAGGTGCATCAATTGCTTGTAGAAGTATATGATTAGTCTGCCTTAAATGAGAGACGTTGTGAGTGGTTTCAAAAGTTTGAGAATGGTGAATCTGATGCCCAAGACAAAGAATGGAGTGGGAGTGGAGGATGAAAGTGTATAAAGAGGCAGAACTGGAAGCATTTTTGGATGAAGATTTGTGCCAAATGGAAGTAGAGCTTGCAGTTACATTAGGAGCGACTCAACAAGCAATTTCACATCATTTACAATCATTGGGAATGATTCAAAAGCAAGGAAACTGAGTTCCATATGAACTGAAGCTGAGAAACGTTTAACGCTGACTTTTTTTACAGGCAAAATGCTGCTTCCCAGACACAAACGAAAGGGTGTTTTGCATTGAATACTGGTATTTATATTGTATTGTATAGTATGGTGATAAAAAATGGATCCATTTTGATAATCCAAAGAAGAAATCTTAGGGACCCCCTGGCCATGCTTGAACATCGATAGCCAAGCTGAATATTCCTGGGGGAAAAAATCATGCTGTGTATATGGCGAGATTAACTTGCTGTCATGTATTATGAGTTGCTGAAACCAAACCATTACTGTGTTTCTCTACCAAACACACTTAATGAGACGAAGTCTGATTGAGACTTAATTGATGAGAATGGCCTGTCTGAGCAGCGCTTCACATCATATGAAGATACCAAAAATCGGGTTGATTTGTGGATAGCCTCGAAAGATGAAGTATTCTTCCGACACAGTATCCGTATGCTGCCAAAAAGATAGAAAAACGTAGTGGATAGCAATACTTTGAATAAAATTAAGACACAATAACACGCCGAACAAATACTAATTCAGAAGTCAAACAACAAAAATCAGCATTATCTTTTCAAATTTTCACAGGACTAGTTTCGATGGTTTTACTGAGCCACATCCCTCCGAAAGCGCAAATGACAGATAGGATATAATGACAGATAAATAAGAAAGCCTGGACAGAAAAAAAGCTAGTGGCACCATCTGTTGCTGAAACCAGAACTAAAACATAACTTTCTTTTTTTTTTTTTTTCTTTTTTTTTTTCTTTTTTTTCTTTTTTATAGTAAACGATCCTACTTCCAATCCACTTCCTTCTCCTAAGAATTATGTTGCAGCTGAGGATGGTGGCTCGGGAAAACCACTGAAACTTGTCCTGTGAAAATTTGAAAAGATGGTGTGTGTTTAATTATGGCAAAGCTCACTAGGGCTATCTGCCTAAGGGGAGGGATCCTTCGTGGAGACTTTCTAGGGAAACTGGCTCGTATACCGTACACATGGGAAACCACGAAAACACCCATGCAGCCAGCCCGTTCGCGGGATTCGAACCTCGGACCGAACTACCAGTGTTCAGCGACTTTACCACTCGGCCCCTGGTGGGCCAATTTGAAAAGATAACGCTGGTTTTTGTTGTTTGACTTCGGAATTAGACTTTGAATAAAACTTAACATACCATTCTTTTAAAATAAAAGCTCGATTTTTGATAAAAAAAAACAGCATGGATATCATTATTATACTATAAAAATAAAAGTGAGAGAGAACTTACCGGTGGTAAAGTAAAAAGTTCATTACAATCAAGCCACAGTTCCTGAAGATTTAGGAATTGGCCAATTAAAGCAGGCTAAAAATATTAATGAACAATAAATAAGTTTAAAATCACAAAAATTAAAGCTACAAGATAAGCTCATATTCAAATTACATGTAAGAAAGAATTACTTTTTCTTTAGTTTTCCAACCTAGAACGACAATGCTATTACTATATTCAATTTCTTTTTTTCATTCTCTTGGCTCCCATGAAAATTCCCGCATATTTTTTGTTCTAGTTCAAATTTACTAATTTATTATAAAGTAACTATTCCTACCACATATGTTTAGATATCAACTAACACTAACATAAAAACTTTAGTCTATATTTAATACATAAGACAGAATGATAAAAATATATAATTTATTATACACTAATCTAGTTTTCAATATGGATTTTATTCTCACTGCATTGTCTATGTTTACTTTCACCCCACCATTTTTTTCACTACTTTCTATGAATGAAAATGCAATAGAGATCAGTAACATAAAAACTGCACTAAAGAAGAAATATTAATATATTTTGCTTATTCGAACGAATCAGAAAGAAAAGAATTTACGGTTTAAAAAAAAAAATCTGCAATCTCGTAATCTTTCAATGCTCATAAAGTTCACTGAATAATCTATATATGTTAAGTTCAGCATTCTTTACAGATTAGCATGACTGCAATAACCTAATTATACTGATGAGCAGAAAAGGTAGAAAAAGGATGTGAAGGCATTCATTTCTTTCATTCAGGATGTGAAGGAACATTTCTTTTCAGTAACATCAGAAAGGACTTGATAAATAGAGCAGGTGAGCTATTGTAAGCTTTCACTTAACAGTAAAACACAGCATTGGTTACAGAAATATGGAATGATTATAAGACATTATCAAAATATATTTTCTTACTCTTGGTTAAAAAAAAAAATCTGCAGTTAATATACATAGGCAAAAGCCACTATGATAAATCACCTAACACCAAGAAGTGGACAAGTCTTCGATGAGAAGTTGAAATATCCTAAGTCAAGCAACTCTTGTTTGGTAATTGATGACTCCACTCATAAGCAAAAAAGAAAGATTCCCCTTAAAATTTAGATGACATTCATCAAATTATTACATTAAGATCAGCTATAAAAAGATCAGTACAATAACCTCCCTCATTTTCCTGTTAGACATGTTAAAATATTTCTTACTTTTATGATAGATAGACAGACAGTTAGCTTGTCTACCACCTTACAGAGTGTCAACTCAAAAAATATTTTTAAATTTATATCAGTTTCCAATAAAACAGATTATATTTATCAATTAATGTTTAGCATGTCATTACAGATATGTCATTTTAACAGATATATAAACACCTTTTAAAGCAAAGAATCTACCTCGTGAGAGCTGAAATCAAAACTTCACTGATATTTTTTTCTTCTTAATTTTAAATATGTTAAGTTAGCTACTCGTGTAAAAAAAATTATGGAAATTTTAAGAGTTTAAACTAAAGTTCAGAATGCATTTGCTTCTATAGCATAAGAATGCACATTCATAAACAGTATTTCCATTGACAGCTAATCAAATCAGTAACTAACAAATAAAAAGTGAATATTTCTAGAAAAATTTAATTTAATATACTATTTGAAAACAGTAAGTTCAAAAACATTATAACATTATAAGTTCACAATAAGAAAATACTATCAAGTTGTCAGATTTCTGTCTAACACTACATTACTAACTCTCCCTCAAATAATACTCCAGCACATACCATGCTTTTAAAAAAAATTCAATGTTTTGATACAATTACACAATGCAATTACAATTACAATGTTCAATGTAAAATAAAAAAGCAAAGAACAAAAGTTTTTTATATTTTAATCTGAAATTAAAAGCATCATGCTTTTAGTCTGATTTTTCACTTTTATTAATAATAATGTCATTTCTTGTATTAAATTTTAACATACAGAAAAAATCGACTTATAAGACACTTGTTAAGTTACCAAAATATTACTTCTTGATCCTGAGAAAAATTCAGAGAAAGATCATCAAATAAATTATCAATCTCCTTAAAAAGTATTAAGGCTTTTACTAGTAATTTTGCTTCTCTTAATGTCATCTCCCATAAAAATTTGAGTACTACAGTCAAAAGTCTTTAATCCGAACTCGTCAGGACTTCGGCGATTCCTTCGGCGGTTTTTCCGGATTATAGATCATCAGTTTAAATGTGGTAAGATGGCATGCAGAAGAAATTATAAAATTAAAAATATGAAACCGTAATTTATGAAATAAAGGAGCAATTATGATCTAAAGAGTATCAAAATTTACAAAAAAAAAAAAAAAAAAAAAAGCTTAATATTTATTTGTTACTTTATTAAACATTTCTTCAACCGTGCATGCTTAAGCATACATTACGCATAGTCGAAATTAGAAAATTGCAACCAGAAAACTATTTGATGTGTATTCGTGATATTTATGACAAGGAATTTGATTTAAATCATATCAAAGACGGAGTACATTGAGATGAAATACTACATTCAGTAAGGAATTATAAACCGAATAAAATAAAAACATCTGCCCTGAAGATAAGGCTAGTGCTGAAAGATCAACTTCCAGTTTATTGCGTGCCGCAACAGTGCTGTTCTGTTATCAGAACATGATTCAGGAATATATATAAATGTATGCATGTATGAATGGATGTTCATATATATATGTAACCAAGAATGTATGTGCATGTGTATATACACACATATATGCATACACACGTGCATGCATTCATACATTTCTGAATCCGATCCTGATAACTGAACAGTACCAATTTGACAAACGATGTGATATTATAATAATCTTTTTCAATTTAAACATTATAAAAAATTTGATAATTTTTAACCTACCAAGGGAAGTAAGGAAGATGCTATGTCATTTTTGCAGAAAAAGATATATTACCTTACAACCAAATATGCATAAATGAAACTATATGTAAATTAAAGTATACAGATAGGCAAAATAAAAAGTTGCAAATAAAAAAAGAGCCAGTTGATCCAACAATTGGTTTAGTGGCTCCAGAATAACATTCCTAACAGTGCTGCGAAACTAATGTCACTTAAGTGAAGCAATAAGCAGCTCAACATCTGTAAAAATCCAACAAATGACTGAAACAATTTTATAACAGAGGTTTGTTCGCTGGATTTATTTCAACATTCTAAAGGATGGTCCTGGAAAAATAGTTGAAATTGACGAGAATTCAATGCTGGCAAGGTACTTTCTCAACAGTGGATATCCAGCAGGTTATGCTCTAAAAATGGTGAGAGCATTCTTGTTCAGGTTCCAAATCATGAAGCAAGCACACTGACATCAAACGACTGTAGACCACGCAGCGGAAGAATAGACAGTATATTCAGACTGTTGGCAAGCATATAAAACAAACAAGTTTGAAAATGCTGGTCACAGTCATTTTAATTGTTTTGTTGATTCAGCAATGTGTGCTCACACCCAAAATGCCAAAATGTGGAAAGATGTGGGGTTTTGTTTAATGCCTTCTTTCCAAAACCAACATAGGGGTATGGCTTGATATCATATCGAGTTGAACCTTTGCAAATTCATGTGGCGGAAATCCTTTGGGAAAGATAAGTCTTTTGATGCCATATTAAAAGCAATCCCAGAAACGATATGCGAATAGTTTAAACTTGGCAAAAGTCTTGGCACTGTTTTGATAATGGGAACTGTGAAAATCAAGAAGTACCAAAATATCTTCAATCGTAACATGATGTTATTAGCTGCTGCCTCTATGCCGGAAGGGAGGGAGATTCTTTCCTGCATAGAGGCAGCAGCTAATATATATATGTATGCATGTATGAATGGATGTACAAGTTCATGTATATATGTAACTACGAATGTGTATGCATGTGTACATATGCACATATATGCATACACACGTGCATGCATTCATACATTTCTGAATCCGATCCTGATAACAGAACAGTACCAATTTGATAAAAGATGTGACATCATAATAATCTTTTTTAATTTAAACATTATAAAAAATTTGATAATTTTTAACCTACCAAGAAGTAAGTAAGATGTTATATTGTTTTTGAAGAAAAAGATATATTACCTCCCAACCAAATATGCACAAATGAAACTATATGCACATTTATTATTTTATTTTCAAATTATATTGAAAATATAATTTCTATTTATACATATATTATTTTATTTCCCAATTTTGTAATAACAAAACAATCAGTTTTAATACTCAAAATATCCATACATTTTCTCAACATAAATGTATAAAAAATAATTATTTTCATAACAAATGATATGTTTCAAACGATTATATAAGATGAACCAAAAGATTAAAAATTCATAAAAAATTACTTTTCCTATAAAGATGTAGTTTGAAGAAAGTGTTATGCTAAGAACTTGTGGGGGAGGATAGGAAAAAAGTTTTAGTTCAAAATTTCACCAACAGATGTGACTGCATCCTCATCTTACCCTTAAGGTGATGTGGCAAATAGCAACATCAGGGTTAAAAAAAAAATGGAATTTTCATAGTCATTAAATTTTTTTATTGCATGCAATTATACACAATATGTAAAATCTTAAATCTATACTCTTAGATGAGAACATTTACACGCGGGAAAAAAAAAATATGCCTGCAACATTGAAATTCTATCAACAGCCTTTTTTGCTGCCATCAAAAGCATCTTCTTGCTTGCATTATGAGCAAGAAAGAAGAGTTGCCATAACATCTGGCTCCCTTGAAGACCCACTATAAATTTCAAATATTCTACATGTGACATCTAATAAAAATAATGTTACTCAAATAACTCATGGCTGCTTCAGCACACAGCATTTCATACTACTAAGTGTCCTCCTACTAGAGAAAAAAGCATTCTAGAAACATGTGATCATCACCAATGCACTGCACCAAACAAATCTCTAATATCTCAAACTTTTCAGCATAAAGCATCTTATAATTGTGCCAAGAATAATATGCTGCTGATCCGAGACACCTATGACTCATGCACCCTAATCAAAAATCAGCAAACATTTAAGTCAGGTATTCAAGAGGGCTACAAAATAGGATGTAAGTAGCTGAAGTCAAATTCTCTTATAAGGAACTGTTTCATAGGTGATGTTATTTGAAGGAGAGTGCCAGCTTACATAAGCACAATACCAATATCAGATTTTGTTCTCACAAACATACCACAATCTTATATAATATTTTCAGGTAGCACTATTATGCTACCAAATATGCTTTCAAACCATCTGCTGCACATGGCACTTCAAAAAAGAATAAGCCAATGAAGATGAATACCATGCAATTGAAAAACACTGCAAACCTCCTGAAGTCTTACGGTTTCTCTGCTCTTGTATATTGTGCCCATAGTTACAGTATTACCAGCTCATGCAATAAAAATATGCATTATATGGCCAAGGGATATTCAAAATTCGTTGTAGATCATCAGCAACCTTTCTTACTGAACATATGGCAAATTCTTCTCACTTATGAATATCACTTTACTATAGCTTACATGGAACACATCACGTAAAATCTGTAACAATCAACTTAGTAAACTTGAAACACTTGCAGTTTTTTAAGTACTGCTGACATACTCATTGGCTGCATAGCTATCTCCACATTTATACAGTTTCTGCCAACCATGCTTTGTCACTGCAATTTTGAAGGGCTAAACCCTGAAATTCCTAGAAATGTCAAAGGAAAAATATTAACATTGTCATTGTCTTTAGGCCTCAATATGTTTTCTGCGTGAAAAACTGTTGTAAAGGTGAAGCAATGATTACCTGTTCAGGTAGAATAATTTCACCAGCAACTTTAAAGAAGCAGCTTTGGTGATGGAAAGCTTTTATAAGTAAATATCACTAATGTATCTATGATTCCTTTCATGCAGCATTTACTGGTTAAATTATAAATTTTTTAAAAGAAAGAGAGATAAGAAAAAACGTCAAAATTTGTATTTTAAAACGTATCCAAAATGCATTTCTAAGTGATAAATCATTCACTTTTTTTAATTAAATTAGCATTAGTGATTTTTAGTTTATCTTTTACACACATACTGCAATAAAAAATGAAATACAGTTTAAATCACTTCTTAACCACACATCATTGCCAAATTGTACTGCTTAGCCAACATTTTTATGAATACTGAATATCTTATCCTGCTTAATTCTTAAAGCTTTAAAAAATTAACTTACTAATTCTGATATTTCATTGCTTCCTAAATCCAACCTCTCCAATTTGGTTAAGTTGGCAAATGAAGGAGGTAATGTCCGCAAGTTATTTTCACGAAGCTCTAGGGATTGGAGATTTGATAAACTGAAAAATACATGAAATAAGAGTTTTATACAGAATGTAACAATAATAATAACTTTTAAAATGAAAAAAAAAAAAAATTTCTTACTTTCCAAAATCATTTGGTAAACGTGATAATGAAATGTCATTCAAACCAAGTACTGTAAGATTTTTGAGTTGCACAAAGCCTGCTGGCAACCTAAATACAGAATATAAGTCATTAAATTACAATTTGACACATGCCACAAACATTAATGCTTAAAATATTAAAAGATATTAGAATAAAAAGACATAAAACAAAATTATAAAGGCATTTCAATAAATTACAAAAGCATTTTAAGTTTACAATTTTATAACTAAATAAAACAAATATTACTGTCTCTGTGTTAAGAAATATATTATCATCCTTATGGAAAACCAAATAGTACCAAACAACATATATGCAATAATTACATAACATACACAAGTACAGTAAAACTTGTTAATAAAATATTCGCAGTAAAACATCAACATATAATAACAAAATATCCTATATGCTGCACAGCATATTTATAATAAACTTTTATATTTCTGTCTCTATCATAGACATTACAATTAGAAATTCTGACATTTTATCATAATATTCAAGAGAAGATAGAACAATAAAAAACACTACAGCTATAATCATACATCATGACCGTTTTCAAAAGAAAGTATAACAATAAAAGGTATTTTTCCTATCAAAACATGCTACAAGTCATGAAACATTAGTCCATATCATTTACATGTATTCAAATCTTTACAAAACAATAAAAGTCATGCCTTCCAATAAAGCACTCCATAAGTCATGAAATACAGATACAAATAATTTGTTTATTAATATAAGCAGTAAGAAATGTTGTAAGAAGATAATATGAGTTTGAGCTGCTGTATTTCACCATTTTACGATACATTCATAAAAGTGCATGTTAACAAATTTTTCAATCTTCTACTAATATCAAGGCATTATTATATTACAGTACTTGCATATTAAAGCAACCAACTTGTTACAAGTCGCCAAATTTTTGGAATGTGCTTAACGCTGGCAACCATGCTCATAACAATTGTTTCAATCAAACACTGACGCCATTTTTATATGCATTCCTTTTTGTTGTATTCCAAGTTCAAGCAGTTTCTATAAACAAATTATAATATTTTTACCTGAAACTTAGTTTTAAAATATGAGCTCATAGAAGTTACCTGCAATTGAAGAAACTGTGGTGACACTTCAGCAGTAATATAGAATTTTGCTAAATATTTTCTAAAGGGAACAATGAGGAAATGCATTTCCTAGATAGCCAGCACTGCATGAAGCTAAGTCTCCGTAATTCTCAAATGTTTTTTTTTTAAGCAAAAACAGACTGCTGTTTACCTCAAGAGAAGGCTAATGCAAAAAAAAAAAAAAAATTACAGAAAGATTTGAAGAAGAATACAAGTATTCTATTTTTTAAAAGTATTACATAATACTAATAATTCAAATTTGTATTTTAAATTCCTAAAGCATATTTTCTTTTCATAAGTTGATATCGTTTATCGACTTAACAATACATATTGATAGTTTGGCAATCTTTCTAAACAAGGCATGAAAACCACCCAGTAAGTAGCCTTTACCTTTTCATCTAAATTGCATTAATACCATAAGTATCTATATTTCTTTGACTACTTGTTAACTTTAACAACTTAAAACCCATTTTTAAAGCATTTGTGTGAATTTTTTGTAAGCAAAAGTATTAACTCTTTTGGCCTTGCTGATGGCATTGGCCATATTCATACATGAAGGTCTATATCGGTAGTAGAGACAATTTTACTATTCAAAATTAGAAGTCTTATTTGGCAGCTTATCAGTGGCTATTTGCTGTTGAATGTTGTTTACAGAATGATCTGGTAGTAGGAACATATTAATAGTTAAAAGGGAATTCTTCTAACATTTATAAACAATAATGGCCCCCTCAAACAAAAATTCACATTAAAACACCTCTTGAACTTAAAAATAGCAATAAAAGCAATAACAGTATTATTGTTCAGTTTTTAAAAATGTTTATGCCTTATTTTATCTTTTCCTAAAGATGGCACTGCCCTCGCACCAGAGTTTAATTTGTAATGTATTTTTTTAATTTTGTTGTGTGTTTGAGGCGACAGATTAAATAAAAACAAAGGACTAGTATTCGATGCTAAGAAAGAATGAACTCATGTAAACAATTCTAACAGCTGACAAAGTCAAAATCTTATTCAATTCTTTGAGTCTTTTTACTGTGTCAAATTCAAGTATTTCCGAGTAACTATAAAGTGAATGAAAATTCAAGGTAAGTTATTTAATAATTATTAATTATTAAATAGCAACAACCAAGTATGATAAACATGCAAACCAACAACCAAGTATGATAAACACATAAACCAAGCAAAGAGAAATAATATATGCATAATGGAATTTCATCTTCGGAGGGGGGAAGAATAAGATATAAAGATGTACCAATGATTAGTAGTACATTAAGCCGTCTTATGATTCAGCAATGAAGGGCCTGTGGGGCTGCAGAAAAATGACAAAGACCATCTATTAATGCCTAATCATCATCTGCATCTGTATGATCATGTCTACAATTTGAAGAGCCACCTGGCTCGATATCGTAAGTCAAAATTTCTTACAATCCTAATAATGTATATGTCTTGAAATCCTAATAATGGATATGTCTTGAAAATAAAATAACATGTCTGGCCAGTAAAACTGATACACTTTTATTCTACAGCATAAATTCCTTGCAGCCAACCATACCTTCATAGGCAGCCAACATCTTACAGAATTGCCTTTATCTTTTAAAAATGTTACTATATCATAAGTAGTCATAATCTTCTACAGTTATAACACAAACAAATGCTGAACCAAACATTTTTTATCTTTCATTGTAAAAATGAAAATTATGTTCAAAATTGCTTCATTTACTGAAAAAGGGTACTAATGTATATCTTTCATAAAAGCTAAGAGTCATAAAACGAATATTCGTAAAATGGATCATAAAAGATAAGTCCCATTAAATATTACCATTCAGATATCCTTATTGAACTGCTGAAGTCTACATTTGTGTATGAAAATGAGGAAAATAGACTACTTATGGTGCTCAACAAGTCATATACCTTGATAAAAATACTACTAAATAATATTATTAAACTGAAATAAAAAAAAAAAAAAAGATATTAGAAAATGAAGTGCAGTATAAAAATTGACAAATGACAGAGACATATCGGCAAGTAAAGGATTAAGTTGCCAAGCAGCTTAATTTTGATCTAAGCCAATCATATATATAAAAAAAAAAAATGTTTCCAAATTTTAGAACAATTAACTTGACTAACCAGTTTGACAAAGTAGAAATCTAGATTGGCCTTACCATTTTTACTCCAAAATAACTCTTTACTTATTTTGAGCTTTACACTTTTATGAATGCTGTGTTCTACACACCCCCAAGGCACCTTCAATGTAAATTAATACACCAGCAAAGGAAAAGAGAAGCAATGGTCCGAGTCTATGGGTTAAAATCGACTTGTTAAATTGCTGTAACCAGATCCTACAAATAAGTCAAAGTACTGCAGTCTTTAATAATTCTCAGTCTCTCTTCTGTTAGATTTTAAAGAACTAAGGAAATATTATTTTCAAATAAAGAAAAATCAAAAGGATATCAAAAAAACAGATGCATAGCAGGAAAGCTCAAAGTGTTGAAAAGGACTGAAAAATTGGATTAAAAATGTTCATGAAAAAGATATGAAATAATACTGAAGAATTCGCCACAAAAATTGGGAAGGATGATTTTTGTAGCAACAGACGGCTGTTAAGACGTTTATAAATGTATTCATGCTGAGAAAAAGGATGCTGATTTCCCTGCTGCTGGTTATCAAATGAACGGCCTACTCTGCCGACAAAGAAACACTTTAACGCACACAAAAACATGTACTGTATTATCAAGATTGTCTTAACATACATACTTATTTAAAATTGAAAGTTCAAAAAGGTATAAAATATCAAAAGACCACATGACCATATTATGCTGCATCAATATCTGTTGAGGGGGAAGAAAAAAAAAAGAAAGAAAGAAAGAAAACTTAGTAATCAGAAACAGAAAGAATGGTGCTTTAAATGAATAAAGAGTTTACCAAAGGACTAAAAATATAATTCAAACGCATGAATGATGTAAGTAACTTTTAATGCCTTTTGAAAATACCTTTTGAAAAGGGTTAACAAACTGAAGAATAAATAATATTTTTACTTACTGACAACTGCACAGCATATAGTATAAATGTCATTCTGAAACATATTGAAGTTAATTTTTGGCAGCAAATACTGCACTTATAATTCAGCCATGTGATCAAGTGATTATTACAGCAATAAAAGAACATTATCATCATGAAATAAGTGTTAAACATAGATATAACAAAGTCCTTTAAAACATAGATGACATAAATACAAATGAACTAGTAAGGAAAACTAGCCTTCCTGATATGTCACATTTGCTTAACATGTCTTGGAACTGCAGCTCAGAACAGACAACTCAGAAGTGTTTTAAGCACACCAACCTTTTAAAAAATGATGAAACAAAAGAAGTTGAAGAATCAAAAGCAATATTTCAAACTAAAATGAGTGAGGAATTTTTGGATCTGCTTACAAAAAAAAAAAAAAAAAAAAAAAAAAAAAAAAAAAAAAAACTGTATTTCAACCAGGAGTTGGTAGGGAAAATGACTGACTCTGGCCATGACGCCTGGAATTTTAAAGACTCTGACTCCCTCATATATATGTGAACATATACACATGTGTTACAGCTTATTTCTTTTAAATATAAAAGAAGTGATAGATGCAACAGAAAAAAAAAAAAAAAACTGATGACATAGCAGATTATTTATATTAATTAGCATTTATTATGAAATGGAAAAACTGGCATAAGAAGCAGTATAGCTTCCGCAAGATCTTCGTTGATAGAGGACCATAGATCCGATTTTATAAACTTCAGAGCTGAGAATAGTCTTTCCACAGTAACTTGAGAAGGAGGAAGAGCTGTTAATGTTAGAGCTACTTCTTTTAATGTTTCAGGATGGATTTGTACAAGTTCTAAAAGAGGTGTCTTGCAAGAACGATCATATTTCTCTTATTTCTTCGAGCGCTGTGTAGAAATCTTGTTTGTGTTTTTTCATTTTTATATCTAAAAGCTGTTGACTCTTTACTTTCATTCACTTTGCCTTAGCCTTTTCAATATTATCTAAATATTTCTCAAAATCTAATTCATCACTGGAAGAGGATGATAGAGACTTAGTTGCAATGTCTGAAGTTTGACTGCCCTGTTTTGAACACTCCAGTTTTTCTGAGAATAATTTCATTCTTAGTGAAAGTTCATAGATAGCTTTCTTTGCCTTTTTAATTTGTTCATCATCCAGTAAAATTTGGTGTTTTGGATCTACATATATTGAACCCAGCAAGACTCATTGTCTAGCAAAATAGTTTCTCTTTTCTTCATTGGAGAAATGATTGCTTCTGCAATAAGCAGTCCATTTTATAAAGAAAAAACATCACATTTTTCCATTTTCACAGAAACAAGCCCTCTGTTAATTCTTCAGATTGTAGCTTTTTTGTGGCCATATACGGTGTAGAAAGAAGAGTTTCCAATTCTGCAAGATCATTCCAGTCTTTCTGTTAGCGAAACATTAGCGTTATCTACACCTTTTAAAAAAGTTCTTAATTCTAACAACCTCTTTATCATCCCTTCATTGCATTGCTTGATTAATAATTGCTCCTTTTCCTACTCTCCTCATTTTTAGGAGTCATTGCTGCTTGCCTAAATTTAACAATGAGATTTGTAGCATGGGTACAAATGAGATTTATAGCATTTAATGCATTTTGCAGCCATGGGCTCCTTCTTGCTGTGAATTATGCTACAGTAATCCCATCAATGAGCTGAAGAAGTAACTAAATCAGTTTAATGAATAATGGCAAATATCACATTCATCCTCCTCCCCTTATACTTATCTATTAATATGTCAATCAAATGGAAAATAAATAAATATTAATGTATACAATCAATAAATAAAAATAACAACTCAGTTTGTCATTAAATTGTTTTTTCAATTCAATTTCATTTCCTATTCAAACTGTCCAACATAAACTGGAGCGCGAGTCGACGTCCTTTTAGGGACTCCAGTTCTGACTCCTTTCACCCAAAAATCTGTCTAACTCAGATTTCGACTCTGACTCCACAGCCCTGATTTAAAGAACATTTTTTTATATATATATCATATAATTAATTATTTCAGTCTTTGTTTTCATTCCATAATTTTGTTTAACAAAATGTTTTAAACAATGAGGTAATATACACCAAATGACAAAAGTGCTATGACCAGATAAACATGGTCATGCAACTCTGCATTAAGCAGCTTGCACTGCATCTACTGTTCAAATAAAAAAATTTAAACCATAAAAAAATTTCTTTTAAATTTCCTAATTACACAGTTTGCTACTACAGTCAAAAGTCATTAATTCGGACACCCATAATCCGGACATCAAAGCTAAAAACTTTCTGCGCATGCGCCACGTTGGCACATGCGCACAGGCGTTTTACGCATGCGCGTAAGACCTTGACTACTGCGCATATGCAAGTGCGCAAGTGCAGAATACATTTTCGCCTGCGCGTTTAATGTATAACGGACAGTGTAGCTAAATTATCTCTTATCTATTTCAGTTAATGTTATGATTGCGTTGTTCCTAATCTTCGAATTGGATCCGCTTATTATTTTTGCAGACTGGTAGAGCAATTTTATAAGTCAACTTTACTTTCGCTTCTGTCCCCTTCCCATGAAGAATGTGACGAGAGGTTCGTGAAAACCGAAAATTTCGATGACAAGTTAGTCGGTATTCTTGGCCCCGCCCTTAAGGGATTTTGAACAGTGGAACTTTGTAATGCCAAAAATTATGTTGTTTATAGAATTAAGAGAACGTATTATCACATAAAACGAAGAACTTCTTCTCCTTACATTGAAAGAAATGTTTAATAAATTAAACAAATAAATATTAAGCTTTTCTTTTTTTTGTAAATTTTGATACCTTTAGATCATAATTGTTTTTTATTTCATAAATTACGTTTCATATTTTAATTTTAGATTCGCATGCCATTTACGAGATTTAAACTGATGATCTATAATCCGGAAAAATCGATAATCCGGAATCGCCGGAGTCTCGACGAGTCCGGATTAACAACTTTTGACTGTATATGTATGGCTCTACGATTTTAAATAATGAAAATCTAATAAACTTACTTTGCTAAAGGATTACTACTAATATCTGCATTCTGTAATGATTTAAGAAATTTAATGTTTTCAGGTATATCTGGAATATCTGAAACACAAATAACAACATTTGAAAAATCTTTTTTACAAATGTACATATGCAAAAAAGGATACTACAGTTTTGATGGAAAAAAATCAAAAAAGATTCTTATATAAATACTTACCATTTTTACTTATATCTAATTCAACCAAATTTACCAAACTAGCGATATCAGCTGGAAGTTGGGCTATTTCATTGTCACTCAAGCTAAGACGTCGTAGTTTTACAAGGCGAAAAAGACCCTTAATGAAGCAAAAGAATTTGTTTAACAGCATAGCAATGTATTTTTTTCACATCAATCAGAAAATTTAAAAATATGAAACAAGTTTCCAAACAAGAAAGTAAATTAATAAAAAGGGAGATGTAACACCATATACTAGACACATCACCCCCCTCCAAAAAAATATTTTTTACATGAAACAGATAATTTTTATTAATCAAAAAACAAGCAAAAAATTATTTATTTATTTATCAAATGCCTGGTCATTGACCATTAAGTCATTACGCGACGAGCTCTCCAATACTTCTTTACAATACAGTACAAACTCTTAAGTGCAGAGAATATGTCTAGATCAGCAGCATCCATGACATGTCCAGAATCACACAAAGCACATAAAAGTGAAGCAGTACAAGTAAAAAATTCAATAATAGACAATAATTAAGACAATAGTTAAATCTTTATAGACAGTATTAAACATCTGTTAATATCTCATTTTATGAACTCCCAATCAAACATAACTTCAGAAATCTAAATTCATTTTTTAAAAATAAATTAAAAACAACATAATTCTCTAAATATTTTTACCAAATGCAGAGCAAATATAATATAATCAATACTTCTTTAGTACATAAATTATTATTATCTTACTTTGCAGCTTTTGCACAAGTATCAGCATAACTAGTTTTCGAACTAAGTGAATTTAAGATCATACAACATATATATATATATACACACGTGTGTGACAAATATATATGACGTATATACATATATATAATTTATGTAAGACAAATAAATATCCACAGTGTGTCCGCAGACTATCTTTTCAAGAACAAAATAGTTTAAGCTATGCATGTGGAAAATAAACCATTCAGTCAACCTATTAACTACTTCTAGTACTCAAATATTTTCTGTGCAATAACTGATGCAAACGAAAAGAAAATAATAAAAAGTAATAAACATTAAGAACCTTAAAAATCAATAAAAGCCTAGCTATCTGGCATTAAATTACACAGAAGGTTCAAGAAACCAAAGTATTTTATAATTTTCCACTCTTACTTCCCCAAATGAAAATTTTAGCAAACGAAAGACTTGAAATGTCAATTAAGCTCATAAGGACACTGCTACCAAATAGTTCAATTTAGTTCCAATAATGGATAAAAATGAAGGAATGCCCCAAGTGTTTTTAACACTATCATGTGAACGACTGACACGCGCCTTTCCTTTCTTTTAAATGTACTGAGTCAAAATTACTGCCCACTTCCCCACAGTTCAATGTTAAGATTTATGAAAAACTCTTTAGACTTGTTAGTATAGGTATGTATCTGTTATTTGAGGCAAGTAATAGATATGCATATAAAAAAATTACCAAAATTTTTATTACACAATGAAATAACAGTAACAGGTACAATTCCATTAGAGTGGCATCAGTTACAAATACAGCAACAACCATGGCAAATATTTTGGCTCAAGAATTTAACATTTGAAATATCGTGGCTCAAGAATTCTAGTTTTCATTTAAAATATTGTCGCTCGTTATTTTGATTATTTTTTATTAACGTTTAAAATACTGTGGCTCGAGATTTCTAGTTTTTGTTTGAAATATCGTCACTGGTTATTTTTTTGCCATTTTTTTAGTACGATGTATTACACAATTTGGCAGTCACCTAATGATGAAGAGGCTATCATAAAATTCTTTTAGGATAAAGGAATAATTCATAGCAACAGACTTTGTTCTCAAAATCATCTGATGAAGTTAACTTTTGAATCAAAACAAGGTTCCCATATGGCATTGTTGCATACGTTCTTGCTGTGGATAAAAAAGGATTAAGAACCAAAACATGGTTTGAAGGCTCACGTCTTACTTTCCTCAATGCCATTCATTTCATCTATCTGTGGTGTCCAGAATCGACGTCGACTGAATTTTGCGGACTTCAATTAGAAATGAGCCATAATACAACAGTACAGTCAAAAGTCGTTAATTCGGACACCCATAATCCGGAATGATCTATCCAGACCTCAAAGCTAAAAACCTTCTGCGCATGCGCCGCGTTGGCACATGCGCAAGGCGTTTTACGCGTTCGCGTTAAGACCTTGACTACTGCGATATGGTGTGCGCAAGTGCAGACTACGTTTTGCGTGGCGTTTAATGTATAACGGACAGTTAAGCTAAAATTATCTATTTCAGTTAATGATGATGATGGTTGTTCCTTAATCTTCGAATTGGATGAAGCTTATATTTTTTGCAGACTTTAAGAGCAATTTATAAAAGTAAATTGAACTTCAATTATGTCAAATAGAATTTCCGATGCTGGAACGTCTACCGAAAGTATGTTTCGATGTTCCAACAAACAAAAGTGGAATTGAAAAATGGATAAATGTTTAGTGAAAAGAAAAAATTTCGATGACTAGTAGTCGGTATTCTCGACAGCAATTAACGGGGACTTGAACAGCGGACTTGTAACTGAACAAGAAATTGTCTGTTATAGAATTAAAGAGAAAGTATTATCACCTAAAAGAAGCAACTTTAAACAACTTACATGAAAGAAATGTTAATAAAATAACAAAAAATATAAGCTTTTTTTTTTTTTTTTTTTGTAAATTTTGTTACCCTTTAGATCATAATTGTTCTTTTATAAATTACGGTTTCATATTTAATTTTAGATTTGATGCCATCTTACGAGATTTAAACTGATGATCTATAATCCGAAAAAATCGATAATCTGGAATCGCCGAAGTCCCGACGAGTCCGGATTAACGACTTTTGACTGTATACCGGAATAACTACTTGAGGGAGAGGTATGTGCAAATAGTTTGATGTCTCATAAAACTAAAATATCGTGAAGCCAATAAAATCGCAAAAATAGACAAAAGTCTTTTTACAAGAAGGAAAAACAACATTAGATGTATTCTTCCAGAACAATGCGTATTCAGGGGGGTTATTGCGGGAAAGCAAAGAATGTTTTCTGGTCACCGTTCCTGATCGTTGTACTACAACATTGATGACTGCCATTCAAGAAAACATTGCAGATGGCAGCATTATATTTTGGAAACTGGAAAGGATATAAGCAAGAACTAAGAAATGCTGGATATGTACATTTCACTATGAATCACAGCTATAATTTTGTAGATCCCGAAAGTGGATGTCATACCCAAACTGTGGAAGGACGACTGTGAGGCAGTGCTAAATGGAGAAATAAACGTCAGTGGAGCACTGCTCACCACCATTTAGAATCATATGTGGCATTATCTATGTGGTTATATTATTTAACAGAAAATAAATGTTTCTGCAATATTGAACGATATTCGTAATTTTATGCCACCTGTTTAGATTGTATTTCATTTTGTTTTGATATTTTTTATTTATGTTTGGGTCTAAGTTCAAGTTAAAAAATTTTAAAATTTTAAAAAATTACTTTACAGAATTAGTGTTTTTTTTTTTTTAAATACTTTTGATCTCTAATTTTATTTTATGATTTAATACTTAATGAAAATAGCCAGCGAAAAAAAAGTGGCACATTTTTAATTGAACGCTGCTCTAACAGAACAGTTCCCAGTAACAAAATTAAAGCTATAAAATATTATCCCAAATTACTAAAAAACAAAAGGTCAAATAAAATATATTTAGACAGTCAATTTTTTTAAATAGGTATACATGATAGAAAACAACAGAAATGTCTTACAGAAACGAATTTTCTAACTTTACTTTTCCTAATCACTATATTACCAAATCGAGGCTTACGAATACTTATTTTACGAATACATATATTTTGGTATGCAGCCCGTGACAACAACGAAAAATTAATAAGCCTGCACTGGCAGCAAAAGCATTTAAATAACATAATTTTTGCACAATTAAACATGAAAACTGTTGATAGAATGGTTCATCTACCTAGAACCCCTCAAAAAGGACCATTGGTCTGTATTGATTAGATAATACAATTATAGTATAAAGATGAAATACT